AGCTGCTCCATCCTCTGCTCATCCTGGAGCCTCCTCTGCCCTGGCTCCAGCACCTCCAGCTCCTCCCTGTTCTGGTCCAGGGCTGGGGCAGCTCTGCAGGTGGGGTCTCACCTAGGGGGCAGAGGGGCAGAATCGCCCCTGCCCTGCTGCCCAGGCTGGGGCTCAGCCCAGCACAGAGCTTTGGGGTCGCAGCTCTGCCCCAGCCGGGATCCAGCCCCCGTTTCCTTTGTCACATCCCACTCAAGTTCTCGGCTCCGGCATTTCCGTCCCTGCTCCCCGCTCCTGTCGCGACATCTGGTGGCGACACGGCGTCACGACACCGCCCGCTCCATCTTCCTCCTCTGGAATTCGGAACCACGAGCGGGGACAGTCCCTGCCCTTCTGCTTCCCCCGGGAATTTAACTGCACAGCCCTCGGGAGAGAGTCTCAACAGATTAGATTCCTTCTCCACTTTCATATAAATTATCGAATTGTCACATCAATTCTATATAAAGAAATGAGTTATATGAATCAAAGCCTTTCCCTCACCACACAGACCAACTGGAGTTGTAACAAGGGAATTATTCACTCTGACTTCAGCCAAATAAGTATTTTGAGGTTTTACCGCATTAAGAAATCCCTGAACTATGCATTTTTTTTTAATGTGGCTAAGCAGGTAAAAATTCAGAGACACACAAGTCCGTGCACAGCTCTAGCATACCACAACAGACGTCTTAAAATTGGGCAGACTTGCCCCAAAAAACCTATTTGTTGGTTCAGTCACCATGGGGAGTTTTGTACCTGTGTTCATACCTGAGAACAGAAGTGCTGCCACAAACACCAATCCCAGCATTCCAGTGTGTGTGATGTGAGGAAGGCTCTTTTTCACTATTATGCATTAAAATCCATGCAGTTTCTCATCCCCTGGGGGGATACTTTGATTCCTGATTAGTAGTCAACAAAGGACATTAGCGGGCTTTTTCTCTGACCAGATCTACGGAGAAATTTAATTTCAGTTTCTATCTGAATATTTTTGTGATGGTCCCATCTCCTCCTTCCAAAACCCCAAATAAGCAGCACG